TCACGAAACTTAACACACATCACACCAGACTTAATTCACTACGCTATGCAAAATTTCGGGCAAATCGAAGGATTTATATAGGGACTTTGGCGCACCATTTACATAAAATCGGATGAAAATATATATGAGAGCTATATCGAAATCTGAACCGATTTTCACGAAACTTAACACACACCACTCCAGACATAATTCACTACGCTATGCAAAATTTCGAGCAAACCGAAAATTATATAGGGACTTTGGTGCACCATTTACATAACATCGAACGAAAATACATATGGAACCTATATCGAAATCAGAACCTATTTTTCCGAAACTCACCACACATTATTATAGACTCAATTCAGTACGCCATGCTAAATTTCGAGCAAATCGAATGATATATAGGGACTTTGGTACATTATTTTCCTAAAATCGGTCGAAAATATGTATGGGAGCTATATCGAAATCTGAACCGATTTTCACGAAATTTAACAAACATAGTTCTAGACTTAATTCAGTACGCTATGCCAAATTCCGTGCAAATCGAAAGATATATAGGTACTTTGCTGCACCATTTAAATAAAATCGGGCGAACATATAAATATGAACTATATCGAAATCTGAACCGACTTTCACGAAACTTAACACACATCACTCAAGACTTAATTTAGTACGCTATGCCAAATTTCGTGTAAATCGAAGGGTATATAGGGGCTTTGTGCTTTATCTACCTTAAATCGGACGAAAATATATATGAGAGCTATATCGAAATCTGAACCGATTGTCATGAAACTTACCACTTATCATTCTGCACTCAATTCATTACGCTATGCTAAATTTTATGCAAATCGAAAGATATATAGGTACTTTGGTGCACCATTTACATAAAATCGGACGAAAATATATATGGGAGCTATATCTAAATCTGAACCGATATTCAAGAAACATAACACACATCACTCTAGACTTCATTCAGTACGCTATGCCAATATATATGGGACGCTATGACGAAAATATATATGGTACCTACATCGAAATCTTAACAGATTTTTCCGAAACTTACCACACATCATTCTAGACCCAATTCAGTACGCTATGCCAAATTTCGTGCAAATCAAAGGATATATAGGGACTTTGGTGCATTATTTACCTAAAATCGGACGAAAATATATATGGGAGCTATATCTTAATATTAACCGATTTTTTCCAATTTTAATAGGGTTCGTCCTTGGGCCAAATAAATGAGCTGTGCCAAATTTTATCCAATTCGAATCAAAATTTCGACCTGTACTTTGTTTACAATTTAACATGGACAGACAGACGGAGGAACGGACATGCATAAATCGACTTAGAAAGTGATTCTATGCCTATTCTCAAAAGGAACCATGTGCCTATCTCGTTTCCTATACCGATATTATATTTTTTTGCCGAAAATTGTCTTCATATTCCTTTTACAAATACGTGTGGTCTACATTGGGGTTCTAAAATGCGTCTGTCATATATTCTTCAGATATTCACAACAACAAATTGTCCCTGAAAATTGAATTTTGTTCTGAGTGGATGTTTTTTTTTTAATTTTACAATAACAAAATTTAAAATGTAGATCAAAAGAAATACTTGAATACGATGTTTTCTATTTCCTGAATTTTTATTTGAATACAGGTATTTTCGATACATTTGTATGATTTCAATGTTATGTACCGACTGCATCTTCTTTATAAAAAATGTTTGCATTTACATACATATGTATAAACATATGTAAATAAAGAGACGACGGATAGTCGTAGATATTTTTGTTTGTAATCTATACTCTAGTACTTTGCATCTTTGTTCGTAAACAATTCTGACTCAGTTATTTTCTTTAGTATTTGTTGTATTTTTCAACAAGAAGAACAGATAATACGGATCACGTCCGTTTGGTGTTGTTATTGTTTTTATTTTTAGTTTTGAAAAAAGGGGACATCGAAGTAAATATTTCTTCCAGAAAAGTACCCGGTAGATATCATCATCGTCATCATGACATTGTAATTTTTTATTTGTAAATTTACATTCATATTAAAATATCATATTTCGATTTGAAAATCGAATCTGAAATTATTTTAAAATATTTTAATTATTTGTGTACTGAACTAGTATTGTTTCTCTGAGGGTAAATTCTACGCTTTTGAAGATACATTTTATTGTACGAACAAATGCCGCCTTAGAAGTCAGAAGTAGGTCAGCTTGAGATATCTGCATATTTCTAGTCTGATGCGATACAAATTTTTTGAATTTCTATTCACATTGTCTGACTCTTACATATATACAGTGGCGGTACAAATAACACTGTGTGACAAGATTTTTTAGTGGGTGGAAAATTCCTATTGCGGATTAAAGGCCTTCGTCGCTGAGTATATCCCCAGAAGGAAAAAATTGCAAACATTTTTTTGCTGGTGACCCTATTATACATGAAGAGATTGCTTTCTATCTTGATTAGAAACTATTGTATGTATTTTTTAAGCAATATTTAATCTTTATATAATAGAATACTACATCTTTCTAACTCAATTCCTTGTGTGTCCGTTTTTGACCCTAATATATTGAACCGTACTCCAATTACCATAACATACGATTTTTCATATCCAATAGGCCTTGGTGAGTATATGATTGTTCTGTATGCTTCGAAATTTGTTTTTTTTCTTCGTATTTGGCATAACCTATGACAAATTCTTTCTTTTTGGAGTTTTCATATACTCACCAAGGCCTTTTATATCCAATAGTGATTTTCCAATATTTGCCAACCCTCAGACCATGCGGGACTTTTACAATTGCGGGACAAGACAATTGTCTGTAACGGTATATGAAGAACCACAAATGCCAAATGACGGTCACTTCGATGGCAAAAATTCGGATAAATCTTTAAAAATACTGAAAATAGAGAGCTATTTCTTAAAAAGGACCCATGTGACTAGACCGTTAAAAATATCGAAAACTAGGCTGGGATATTTACATGGGGTGTATTTTTAAACATGGAGCAAAATTTAGTCTCACACCTACTTTGGTTAGAAGCCTTTAAAATACTAGAACTTGTGCGGGACCTCCAATAACCACGAATGCCTAATTACAGCCAGTTCCAGAATACATCCAGTCAGAATTTTTGAATGGGGACAATGCCAAAATATTCTCGTTATAAATGTATGTCACCTTCCAAGAACCCTTTATATTTAATTAAAGATCCTGCAAAATGTTCTTCAATATTTTTTGCACCCTCAAAAAACCCAAAACGCCAAATGACAGCTACTGTGGTTAGACGTGCGACTAAACTTTCAAAATACCGAAAATGGTGCGGGACATTTATATGGGATCTATATCAAAACATGAAAATTTATCGAACATTTATTGAATGTTACTTTCCATGAAACCAGCGGGATATACAGAACATGTGTTGGGACTTTTGAATGAGGACCTATATTGAACATTTCATCATAAATGTATGCTACCATTCATGAACCCGAAATGTTTAATTGCATAACCTCCGATTGGAAAATGCAGCTAAAACCTTCAAAGAACCGAAAATAGGGCGGTTCCGATTTATTGGAGCTATGCCAAAGCGCATAAAGATTAATCAAGATTTCTTTACCCCCCAAAAAGAAATGCGTCTAAAACTTGAAAATTCCAAAAATCAGGCGGGACTTTTTTTTCTATCGACATCGATAATTTTCTGCGAAGATGTTAACATGTACACCCTAAATCCTACTAAATACGAAAAATGAGTAGGGACTTATAAATGGAAACAATGTAAAAATATGGACCTATATTGGAAATTCTCATCATAAACTCGAACTCGCTTACAGGACCATATCCTTTTCATGAGAATTTGCATATGTCCTGGAGTGCGACGAATTCTATCTTTGAGGTATTGGTTGTTGGCGTAGAGGTTATTTTTCTAGTGGCGCCAAAGAAAGAAAATGCGAGTCGATGGGCAATTGTGTTGCACTCTGCGTGATATAACATAGTCCGGAAACATATACCTTCCCGTTCATTAGAGGATCAGTTTTACATTCTATTCTTTCTTTATGTTAGATACAGACCTCTGCATTGTGTCATAAAATTCGCTTATGTATTTTCCAAATTATTTCGATGAAAATACCAAATACAGTATATGAATACGAGCATATTTAGTATGCAATGTGTCTATAGGTCACATATTCAAGACCTCCAGAAAGCCTTTTACGAACAAGAAGACATTAATTTGTTGAATGGTCGGACTTGTAGGTAATTGACTAATTCAAGTCCGACCATTAGAAAAAAATCAATATCTTCTTGTAAAAGGCTTTCTAGAGGTCTTGAATATGTTGATGACCTATAGACCCTTTGGGTATAATAAATACGCTCGTATCAACACTTTTTTCATATATTGTATTTGGAATTTTCATCGAAATAATTTGGAAAATACACATGCGAATTTTGTAATACTATGCTGGGTCTGTATCTAACATAAAGAAACAATGCAATCGAGTGAGTGGGGAAAGGAGGTCTTTAATATTTAATATGGCCTCTAGAGATCTTCAATAACTTAATTGCCTTCTAGGGGACTTCAATATGAAAAATATTCTAGGGAAGACTTCCTAGAAAGCTTCTATCAATGGAGAACTTTCTAGAGACACTCTATATGTGGAAGGCCTGCTAGAGGGCTTTCGATGTTTTCTAAATGATGTACTCTTTCTGGACAACTTCTAATTAAATAATACCTTCTGGGAAACTGTTATTCCGCTTAGAATTGAAATCTATTAGGATATTAATGGGTTTCAATTCTTAAAATACCCTCTAGAGGTCTTTTATATAAAAAATACCTTTTGCCGGAATGGATGTGTATATAAATTTGTATTGTATTTTAAATTATTAAACATGGAAATTTCCCTAAATTTCCAATATTTATAATGTTCTCCAATATCACGTACTTTGTTTCCGATTCTTATCTTTGTTTTGTATATTACACAACATTAATGGTGGTTCTTCTTGTCATTTTTTCGTTACAGAGTTGAAATACGAGTAAAACCGACATCATCAAGACCGGTAAATTTCCGTAATGTGGCCTTCGAAGATGACATGGCATCGGTACATCCCGATGATCTCTATGCAGCACAGTTTGAGGCCTTTGGTACCACACCGCCACGGACACGATTGAAAAACAAGAATCGGGATTGGGAGCGGAAACAAAAATCTCTAGCTACAGCGTCAACGGGAGGGTAAGTTGATAATTTTATGACAATTTTTTTCAAAATAATATTTATTTTCCTTCATCCTCCCCAATTTTAGAGCCGTTGATTCACCTGTAACACCCAAACGGGGAAGTTCACGCATGACCCGATCCCGTGTGCTTCGACGCAACACAATGGACTGTGCATTGCTGAATGAAATGTTTGTGAATGAGGATAGTGCCACAAAGAGGGCGGATAAACGGGCCCAGGCTTTATTACGTGAATCGGAACGTGAATTAAAGAACTCGTTGGCCTTAACCTCAGCATCGGTCGTCTTAAGTAATTATAATCCAAGGGTTACAAGTTTTCATGAAAGTTCACACAATCTGGAGGCCATGGATAAGTGTACACCCTTGAATAATGAAGTCACTCTGAGATATCAACAGCCCAAGGTAGTGGAATCATGTAATCGTTATATGAGTGTATCATCGCGACCGACCGGTTGTCGGGCCTCAGCGCCGCCACAGGCATTTGCCCATAATCTATGTTTGGGATTTCAATCGACACCGGGTTTTAAGTTGCGCAAAGAGTTCCATGAGACCTTTGCCAATCTCATTAAACTGGGCAGTGTGGATCGGCAGGATGCCAAGGTAAGGAGGATAATTTTCTTAATCTCTTTAATGAAATATATTTTGATAAAATGTTTTTTTTTTTAGATTTCCCATGAGGAACACACCTGGCAGACCGAAGTCAAAGATCTCATTTGGCTTGAATTGCAGGCCTGGCAAGCAGACCGCACCCCTGAACAACAGGATAAATATTTATTTGCAGCACGTAAAGATGTACCGGATTTGTTGACACAAATCATTAACTATCGATTCCAGCCTCGTTTTCGCAGGCAAGAAAGTGAATTTAGTGTAGATAGTGGCCTGGGGACAGATAGTAATGCTAGTTGTAAGTCAACATTTTCTATAAAATATATATTTTCCGATTTTAATTCTCCGTTATCTTCATAGCTCCACAACCCCAAAAATTCTGTGAAGGCTGTTTGTCGTTGTACTGCAAAGATTGTACCGATCAACAGGAAATCGCCATGAAAGAAGTCGAAGAGCTATTGACACGTTTAGAAGCAGCTGAGGCCCTATATCCCTCATCACAGGCTATGGGCGCCTTTCATCCCATCTACCGAAGTGAATCATTTGTGGGTCGCATTAAGACAATGTGCCTTTGGTATAATATAACGAAGCAAGCCCGTCTTAAATTAACAATATTGGGTAAAATTTTGGCCCGTCTGCAGGGTGAGAAGTTCTCATGGCCTGTACAGACATCATATACTGCAACGGAGTCCAGTAGTGGTAATTCATCAGCTTCGGGTATGGAGAATGAAGATTCGGGTATGAATTCAATTGATTCGACACGTTCGTCATCGCATCGTAAACTGTCGTCGACCAATGCCATGGGTCTACCAATGCCCAAGGTACAATTTCTATTGAACGATGTGGCACATGTGCCCGGCGATACAACAAGCAGTAATGAGTAAGAAAATTTTAATTATTATTCTCTAAAATAGACATAACCATTAACCGTTTCTTTTTGCAGATCCTCATCAACGGAAATCAGTCAAATATCGGAGAGTATTTCTTCAACCTTATCCGGACATTCATTTCGTAAAAATTCCATTCACGATTTAAATATATTCAGTGTAGAACCGCTGCGTAATGGCAGCGGTACCAATCCCGAACAATCATCGGCATTATATCGTAAATTCATTGAAAATGTTCTGAAGTCACGTGGCCTAGCCAAGTCCCTAGCATTTCTACACAAACTGCATAATGTTGTAATGTGTAAGGCACAAATTTCTCTGGAGAAACCCGGCACTGAGGATTATGATTTTGAGACTGAAAAAATCGAAGAAGATGTTCCACGATTGGAACCGGACATTAGCCAAGAACAAATTGAAGAGCTACGCCGCTATGGCTATTGGAGTGAAGAATACAAATCGATCAATTTGCCAACATACATTCCCATATTTGTATTTCTAAGTGGTGTCCCGCTGCAGTTTATGCATGAATTTATGCGTATGCGTTTGGAGACACGACCACCCAAACCGAACCCCTTGAGTTTGGAACAATTAATGAAAGAGTTGAGGGAGGGTCTTACCTTGGCGTTAACACACCGAGAACGCTATCAACGGCACATTACCACTGCCCTGGTCGAGAATGAACATGAACTAGAACGATACACCAGCATTTTGAATCAATACGATGCCACCGTAAGGAAAGTATTCGAATTATATTTGGAATATATTGATCAGCTGGTGTTGGTGGCGTGTCCGGAAAACAATCAAAAATCCGCCTTGGAAAAGGAATGGATGTTCACGAAACTGATATCGCCCATGATATCGGGTATGCATACACTGGCAGCGAAAAAATTCTGTAATATTATACGTAATCTTCTGAAGGGTATATCGGAACGATTGGTTAGCCGTTCCGAGGAATTGGATATACAAATTGAGGGCACCACGGCACAGAATCTCGAAACGGAATTAAAATGGCAGGTATTGACAATATGTCGTGAAACACAATCGCTATTCACGGTGGAACGTGAAAGTTCGGTAAAGGTGCTGTTCTTTGCCAAGACCTTTTGTCGTGATGTCGAATCGGCCGATTTTCATAGGGAACACTATGAAAATGATGTCGATGCCAATGGCACGCAATGTGATTTTGTTTGTGAAGAGGCCAAAGATGCATTTAAGCTGCTGCAAAGAGATGTTTTGGATGTGCGAAATAAGCTAACCAAAATTATTGAGAGGGTCCAGGAGAGATGTTCACCCATGCATGTTATGGATTTGGATGTAAGTAAAAAGAAAAATTAGTTTTCTTTAGCGATGAAAAAAATAAAAAATACTTTCTTTACAGGAACAAGATCGCCAAGCTGTACTCTCACGTACCCGTGAAATCCTCCATCAGGGCTATAAGTTCGGTTTTGAATATCACAAAGATGTAATCCGACTCTTCGAACATCGAATTATGGCCACAAAAAATGAAGGCTTTGAGGAGGAATTGTCACTGGGCATTGTCACCTTTGCCAAAATGTGGATGCAATTTGTCACCGAACGTTGTGAACGTGGTCGTGGCATGCGTCCACGATGGGCGTCACAAGGTCTTGAGTTCCTAATATTGGCATGTGATCCTCAGATTACACGGCATTTAGACGAAACCCAATTTGAAGATTTAAAAAAGAAAATGGATCGTTGTATATCTCATGTCATCGGAATAACTTCGGAACCAGAGAAAACGCGAAAGAAAGCCTCTCCTAGAACAAGGAAAACATCATCGCCCGCCACTAGTCGATCGCGTACTCCCACAAGATCACCAATGTCAGCTGGTATTGTGGTGAACAATACAACGTCACAACAATCACCGCAATACAACAAATTCCTACATCCCCAATTCAGTCATCGGGAGGAAATTTTCAGTCGCACCGAGTCGTTGGACTCAACAGATTCCACTTCCACGCTGGATGTCACCAGCAAAATGGGTGATTTGCGTCTAATCGTACCGACGGCAATAAATGAAAAGCCCAACACACCGCCAACACCACCCACCAATCCCAATCAAGTTGGAGCCGATGCCTCACTTGCCCTACGACAAATACGCATTCGCGATGCCATCAATCGTTTAGATTTGGATCTCGATGAACGTTTGCGTGAACGTAATCTAATCGGTCAGATTAAGGCGTTAAATTCCTGCGATAAAGTACAAATTCGGGCGCGCAGTGTCCATTTCCGTTGGCATCGTGGCATTAAAATCGGCCAGGGTCGTTTTGGTAAAGTCTATACGGCGGTCAACAACAACACCGGCGAGCTAATGGCCATGAAAGAAATCGCTATACATCCCGGCGAGACGAGAGTCTTAAAAAATGTTGCCGAAGAATTGAAAATTCTCGAGGGCATCAAACATGAAAATCTTGTCCGCTATTATGGCATTGAAGTACATCGCGAAGAGCTGTTAATATTTATGGAATTGTGTTCGGAGGGTACACTAGAGTCGTTAGTCGAATTGACAGGTGGTTTACCCGAAGGTCTGACACGTCGTTTTACCTATCAATTGTTGTCGGGTGTTTCGGAACTGCATAAACACGGTATTGTGCATAGGGATATAAAGACTGCTAATATATTTTTGGTTGCCGGTGGTAATAGTCTGAAGCTGGGCGATTTTGGTTCGGCTGTAAAGATACAAGCTCATACAACAGTTCCGGGCGAATTGCAAGGTTATGTTGGAACACAGGGTAAGTATCGATGATGATGATGGAATTAAAATGCATTAATTTATATGGGGAAATTTAATTGAACATGATTTTGAGTAGGACGAATTTAAGAGTTTCCATTGAAAATTAATCTCAGAAGAAGCACTCATTTAAAAAAATCTTATATATTAACCTGCCAATTCCATTGAAAATCCAAGATTATTGTTGTGATGGTCCTTTGAAAAGTATTCCTTAAAACTTCAAATGCATTTTTTTAAATCAAAATTAAATCGATGATAACTGATCTGCTACTTCTCTCAAAAATATTATTTAAAAATCAAGGCTTACAGAACTGACAGAATCCGCCTGTTTTTTAAAAAACATCTGTTAAAAATAGACGCTTAAATGTCAGCTAATCCTTTCAGAAATATTCTTAAAAAATCCACCAACAATGGTCTTTTCAAAAATGTACTTAAAAATCCACGCTTCTTGAACTGCAAGCCCTTTCAAAAATCCACTATTCCATTTCTGCTAAATCTTTAAAAAAATATTAAAAAAATCCTTACTCGTAAATCTGATGCACATTTCAAGAATGTTTGAAACTAAATACACACAACTGAGCCGTCTTAAAAATACATGTCGTAGATCAGATCTTCCAACAAATAATCGTAAAATCCACACTGGAGTTGCATCTACAGCAAATATTGACTCAGCTGTAACGAGTACCTGCTTCGTGTTCTCCAACTTTGGTTTATCCTCCAACAACTGCCCAATTGTCATAACCTTAGATTTTGGTTTCGACATTTCGGCAGTGGGCGGATTTACAGAGGCGAACTTGTGCATTATCAGCTTTTTTGAGTCACTTTTTCGGGCTTTCCTTCGGACGATTTCGACAGACTCAGGTTTCCCTTGGGGGTGTTGAAGGCTCAGAAGTCCACGCCATCATCATCCAAGTTGTGCTAGGGCCACTCTCAATTTATTCCTCCTATAAACCGGTTGCAGTAATTAACCGCTCTCTGGTAAATCTTCTTGTCAGATATTTCTTTGGCGTTGACTCGTTTAGTGGTTCTTGGTTATGATGATTCATCCATCTTTAAGATGGGAAGCTCGACGGCCAACTGCCTCAAAAGTCTCGAGACCTCACTACATATGGTAGAGAACCTCGCCAGGGTTTACGTCCCCACTCATCGTCTGAGAGGACTCACCAGGTTAGCATCTATAAGGTTGAGGAGAAGGTCCGTCTGCGTCTACAGACCTCCTATAAACCAGTTGCAGTAATTAACCGCTCTCCGATAAACCTTCTTGCCAGACTCGTCGACGGCCAACTACCTCAGAAGTCTCGAGACTTCACTACAGCCCGTGGAGATCCTCGTCAGGGTTTACGTCCCTACTTATCGTCTGATAGGAGTCACCAGGTTAGCTATTGTGTTAGTCACTGTAGTGCTAATAACAGTAGTATCTATGGCGTCTTTCTCTTCTGACAAAGTTGAGTCGTCTCCTGACTAAGGAAAAAAGAGCCGGGTTTCTATATAAGGTTGCGAAGACGGTCCGTCTGCTTCTGCCAGGCTTTCGTTTACGTCGTCGAAAGTAATGGGGTTTGAGGCAAAAGAATAGAATAGCGTGGGTCGTCATCATTTGTGGGGATTGAGGGAGTTCTGGCCTTGTATATTTCGAGACTGAGGGTGCCAAGGAAGCCACACTAGCATCAATCGAAAAATTGCATACGGTTCTATAGAAAAAAGATTTTGTGAGGATTTGAGGTTGGCCATGGCGTAGCCTCTTACCATGGCAAGGACTCGTCAACTAAGTCTGAAAACTTGTTGAGGCTCCCAGGTATCAAAAAGGCTCCGTTCTAATACAGTCCCTATATAGGAATGGAGCCTGCAAACCGTAACACTGATGGGCACGAGGTCGCCTAATACCCCAGCCTTAGGAAGATCACTTGGGAAGGTAGTGACCTAAGACCTTGGAATTTGATGGCGCCATTCTCGAGTTGTCAGTCCTGGGATCATAGGCACTCGGTTTCCTCCGATATTCTCCCCCAGGTCCCGCTGATTGGCCGCGACTTGTTATGTTGGTCTTATTTTCACTTTGAGACTCGGAAATTGATTTTGAAACATCACCTTTCTCAAAATGTTGTTTTGAATTCCGATCCTTTTTGTGCCTGTTGGTTTGACTACAGATGCCAAGACACATACACATGAGAATGAGATTTTTGTTCACTCTCGCAGGATGACGACGGGACTTTACTTAATTATTCAGGCTCTGCACTGTAACTTAATTTTTCTACCTTCTTCCATATTTGTTTTTTGTATTTGGGCCTACAACCCTAAAAGTGGGTGATCAAGCCTGATAGATTAGTATGATCGTGTCCGACAGAAGACTTACAATATAAGGTTCGTTCGTTTACTTTCCCAGTAATATTTACTCAGTAAGAATTTGCAGAGAGTAAATACGAATTTTTCCTTTTCAAGAGAGAAAACTGCAAAAAGTAAACGAACAACATCCAGTAAAAAGATTGTTTCGACACAGCTGATTAAAACAACAAACAAATTGGCTCAAACTAAAAAACAGCATTTTTATTAGAAAAATGGATAACAAGCGGAAAATTGATGTTGTTTGTTCCCCACAACCATTTAAAAGTTTGTGACCTGTTATTCCTGTATCTGCAATTGATATTGGGGTGGACATAACCGATGGTGTTCCAGACATGTTAGGGATGTACACTTTTTTGTTTGGATTTGGAACCTAAAAAATCGTTCGCCAATTACTCTTGTATTACCTTATTTTTAAATACTTGCGTTTTCTTCATCCATTTTGGTATTTAATGATACAAAATCAAAATAAAATTCACAAAACAATCAATTTTCTTGAGAACAATTTTTTGTTTGTTTACAAAACATAACAAAACAGCTGATTAAATATCAGCTGATGGTACAAGAAAATTCTTACTGAGTAAATTTTCCTTGTAAGAATTTGCAAATACTCAGTAACACAACTGTCAAATCTGCTCTCTCAATTCACTCTCTTTTACTGGACTTTTGGGTAAACGAACAACATTTTGTAATAATTTGTTCAAATTCGTACAAATTATTGAGTAAACGAACGAACCTATTATTTCAAAAATATTCTTATTATACTAATATATTTCTTTTCCTTTTAGCTTACATGGCTCCTGAAGTTTTTACAAAAACGAATAGTGATGGTCATGGCAGAGCAGCTGATATTTGGTCTGTTGGTTGTGTCGTGGTTGAAATGGCCTCCGGCAAGGTAATATTAAACAAATCCATATACATCCCTTACAATCGATAATAATAATGTCTTTCATTTTTTTAATAGCGTCCTTGGGCACAATTCGATTCCAATTTCCAAATTATGTTCAAAGTTGGTATGGGTGAAAAACCAGAAGCACCCGAGACCTTGTCACAGGAAGGTCATGATTTCATTGATCATTGTTTGCAACATGATCCAAAGGATCGTATGACCGCATATGAATTGATGGAGCATAATTTTTGTAAAGTAAGTGATATGGTAAACTAAAAAAAATATATTTTTTCTAAAAAATGTTTCTTTTTTAGTATGGCCGTGATGAAGATTTCAATGCCGAACAATTAGCTGAACAGGGACGACGTTCATTCCGACGTAATATTCGAATGAAATGAGAAAAAAATGCATACTGTTTTTTTTTCTTTTCGACCAGATTTGGGGCATTTTCTTTTTGTACGCCTTTGTTGTGTGTTTCTTGTAGCTTTACCTCATTATTACAAATATTTTTATTATTTAAAAATATCTATATTATATTAAATAGTTGTCCTATATTTAGGGGCAAAAACTTAGAAACAATATTTAGTCGCAAATAAAATCTATTTTTTTTTAATTAGGTAATGTATGTTCTCTGTTTGCACATGAACTTTTAATAAACATTTGTTAGGTTATTTTTTTTTATTAGTATATAAGCTGTTAATATTTAAATATTTCCAAATTGTCAATCTGTTTTGTTTTGCATTACAAAACAAATTTAAATATTCTTTCAAATAATAATGAATAATAAATATTTGTTATTCTATGTAAAATCGAAGAGGAAAAAATAAAACATTACCCTTATGATAAATATATGTATGTCTAGCAAAACACAGTTACTTTCAACAAAAAGACAATAAATTATAATTTAAGTGGTGTAAAAATATAATAAAAAAAACAAAATAATACAAAATTAAATAATAGTTCTTATATTGCGTTCTTCTTTGGCTACCCAATTTATCCACTAAAAATTGTAAATGTAGGTCCACTATTTTCTGGTAGCCCCATATAACGGTAACTCCAATTCTTGAGCGCGTTTTTCAATAAAATTTCCTTATAATTTGGCAATTTGAGTTCTTATTGGGTACCTTTCCAGTAAAAATTACAAAGATAGATCCACATTTTCCGGTAGACCGCATCTAACGGTACCCCCAAAATTTCAGTATTTTGAAGGTTAGGAACCCGATATTCAATCGAATTCGATGTAATTTGACATTTTGTCAAATATTTGGTAACAAATCCCCGTCTCAAAAATTATTTATATTCACCCCTATTTGGGTCTAGTCCCCATATAACCCCTTTTATTATATTAAAACTAGATTATGACCGCTACTACGTTTGCAGATGTGAGAATTATTTATACACATAAAGTATTTTATTTTGTAACTGATCATTATATGTCGGAATAGCTAATAAACACACACACTAGTATTTACTATAATTAAAATTTTAGTACCATTTATTTTCTTTGTTATATTATAGTACGTATTTCCAAAACTACCTCCATATCTGAACACTACACACCAATTCAGATCGCAACACAAATCTAGCTCTATACTAATTTTGGTACCATTTATTACCTTTGTACTTTTGTAGTACTCATTTCCAAAACTAATTCCAAATTTCATGATTCGATCTGTATAGGTTCACCCAAATCTCAATTTTACTAAATTTACTACTATTTAGTACATATTAATATAAATTCAATAAAAATTATATTTCCGATTGTAGTATTCCAGCCCGATCGCTTCACCCAAACAAGATTGTACCAAATTTAGTACCATTTAGTACATATTAGTATGAATTTACAAAACTGTATACATAGCCCAATCATACACTTCAACAGTAATCCTGACTTCAAATATAAGAATTTACGCTTTTGGTATCAAATAGTGGCGTTGAAGAAGATACCCCAGAACCAGTAAGAGATAATGGTATAGAGTGTATACCACCTAGCCAAGATGAGGTCATAAAAACAATTAATCGGCCCAAGAACAATAAAGCAGCAGCCGAACTATTTAAGACTGGTGGTCAGATGCTGGTCAGGAGCATGCACCAGCTGATTATTACAATTTGGATAGAGGAATGCATGACCATTGATTGGAACTTCAGCATCCTGTGTCCCGTGCACAAAAAATAGAGGTATTAGTCTTCTTCCCATCGTATATAAAGTGTTATCCAGTGTGCTGTGTGAACGATTGAAGCCAATGAAGTCAATGACATTATTGAACCATACCAATGCGGCTTCAGACCTAGCAAATCCACCTTTGACCAGATTTTCACGCATCGACATATACCACCTATTCGTCGACTATAAAACCGCAGAGGTGTTTAAAGCCATGTCTCCGTTCGACATTCCTGCAAAATATACGGATATGCAGGATAACTTTAAGTGACACAAGGTCAGCAGTTAAAGTCGGAAATGGCCTATCGTAGCCCTTCAATACAGAATGAGGATTCAGACAAGGTGACAGTTTGTCGTGTAACCTGTTCAACATCCTGCTGGAAAAGGCAATTCGAGATGCAAAGGTGAACCGAAATGGCACTCTGTACACCAAACAATACATGTTATTCGCCTACGCCGATGACATCGATATAATGGGCGGTAACAGCCACATTTAAACAAATTGAGAAGGAGTCTGCCAAAGTGGGTCTGACGGTAAATGGCGAGAAGACCAAGTTGATGGTATCAATGCGCAAGACGTCCAGTAGACTAGGACCAACTGTGGAATTTGAAAACTACAACTTCGAGGTAGTTAAAGATTTTATATACCATGGTACCGCCAAAATTAAAACGAATGACATCAGTTTTTAAATTCGGAGAAGGATTGTGATGACCAACAGATGCTACTATGGTCTAAGTAAGCAGTTTAGAAGCAAGGACACCAGACCAAATTCATACTTTACAAGACGCTGATACTACCCGTGCTGTTATATGGACCTGAAGCATGGCTACTTGTGCAATCACATGAAGCAGCTCTTGGCGTGTTTAAGAGAAAAAATCTCCGAATCTGCTTTCAGATTCCATTTGGAAAATATTCAATTAGAAAGAAAAAACACCGTTTTATATGATTCATTACATTTCGTATTTTTATTATTTCTCAAAGACTCAAAAATAATAATGACATTACATTAATTTTTCTTGACAGGTGGATAGATTGGAACTACAGTTGAGACTTCTGGCATTGGTGGTAGTGGAGGGTCACTTGGTGGACCAGTGTATGAACCTCCGCCTCCGGTTGGTGGGGTAACCGATTCAACTGGTGGAGTTGGTGGGGCAGTTGGCAAATAGGGGACAGCATTTACGACAACGCCAAGCAAGAAGATGCTCAAAATGAAGTACAAGACTAAAATGAAAATAAAATTAATAAAAATTCAGTCGATATTCTTTTTTTCTACTTACATTTCATTGTTGTAGATTTTTGATTGTTTTACCGATGGTACTTCAATGAAGGTGTCTGTAAAACTGATGCTTTAGTTGTTAAATTTCACAGCTTTTATAGTTCTATATTTCCATTGATGTTTTTCTTAATTATCAGATCATTTGAAATTCCAAGTAAATTTATGTGCCCAAAAAATTGTTTTGATTTGATAAGATAATAATTATTGGGAAATTCGATCAATATCTGAAAAAGAAGAATAATATTTTAGGTATTTTCCCGAAAAAATAAAGATGATGTATTTTTTGTCTTTGAATGTTATCACATTATATTTGTTTTATAATGAATGACATGTGTAGTAGATATTATCGAAATGAAGACTCGTTATCAAATGACACTTTATGTCATTACTTAATCGATGGCTAGCGGGCGGATGGCGACAAAGGGAACATTGAACTAAACATTGTTATTCGGCTTTATGCCCTTGGGGGCATACAAAAGATGTTAATTGTCGTGATATGATCACTAAACATAATTGAGGAATCTCTTCATTTGTCAGGACTTCAACAAGGAGGAGATATCCGTGATTTTTTTTATTAACTTTATATTTTAGTTATAAATAAAAGCCTCCTTTCCCATAAACATAAAGCCTAAAGCGAAACATGGCGCTAGTTCAATATTGATGTGGGGTTCGGCACTGCAGCCTGGTGTATTGCATTTTTTGAAACGTATTATTTAATTGGTTCTATAATGGGTCGATTACGGATGCCAACCATAGTTTAGTTGCGTTGCCAAATTTACTTATGGATGGCAACTGTTGTCAACTTCAGTTGCTTCAAATATAATTTTTCGGCAACCATTTATTTCTGGTTGCTGTTTATAATAACTGAACTTTGTAGGCTTTCGAAATTGGTTAATATTACTACAATTTGAGGTGAAGCACGCGGTCAAACCAAAACCACTATTGATGATGTGTGGAAGGCCATTTCAGAAGACCTTAACTGCTATGGCCCTCCAATACGCATTCCAAATGAATGGCAGAAAGTTGCGAACATCTTCTTTTGGGTCCATGATATGTACGTGTGTATCATCAATACATCCGTCAATACGCTGGAACTTAGTTTTCGAATAAAAAAAAAATTATTATTCCCTTTTTTATCCTCCGTTAATTTGGATACAATCAAAATTTTACAAAGTTTTTCCTCTATTAGCCGGATAACTTCGGCGAAAACCACCGACATTGTCGGTTGAGCCATGCCAAGGTTGAGGTCATTGCTATGGGACTTTTGAAAACTTCCCTCCACAAAAAACATCAGAGCTGCACACATTTTTAAGAGAGTAGGAATTGCTGGTTGCTTTCCATAATTGACCCATAAGTCAATATTTTTAAAATATTTTGACATTTTTATTAAAATTGCTCCAGGCATCATTGCTGAGTTATGGCCATTTGAAATTCATCTTGAACCATAATATAGTTATGCGTTATGCAGTGCTGGTAGCCTGTTACCTCAAAATGTATAGCCCAATCCTACACCCCAACAGTAATCCTAACTTCAAATTTCAAGATTCTAGCTCTATCGGTTCACTCAAATGCACATTTGATACTATTTTGTACACATTAGTACAAATTTCCAAAACTTCCTACATAGACCAATCCTACACCCAAACTGTAACCCTAACTCCAAATTTCAGGATTCCAGCTGTATTGGTTCACTGAAAATTTAAATTGTACAAAATTTAGTACACATGAACTTCCTACAAAGTCCAATCCTACATTCCAACAGTGATCCTACCATCAACAGTGATCCTACCATCAAATTTCAAGATTCTAGCTCTATCGGTTCACTCAAATCCTTATTTGGTACCATTTTGTACACATTAGTACAAATTTCCAAAACTTTCTACATATCCCAATCCTATACCCTAACAGTAACCCTATCTCCAAATTTCAGGATTCCAGCTGTACTGGTTCACCCAAAATTTAAATTGTACAAAATTTAGTACACATTAGTA